TTTTTTTTTTTAATATTATTTTTACATTTCATATTGTAAAAAAATCATTTTGCTGTTGTGTTTTACAAATACCTACATTTTGTGTTAAATCTTTTCTGTCCAATAAATATACATTGTTATGAAATGCGTTTGTTTTATTACATCTGTACAACGATGCCGACGGTGTTCGGAGAAGGAATTGAAGAAACTCCTGTTAGCTTTGCCCTTCAACTCTGTCAATCAGTATGCTAAGACCTAGCATAGCATCTAAGTAAAAGAACTGACCTAACTGTGATTTTCTCTTTTTTTCCAAACGACTTCAGGCACATCAGAATACGCCTGTAAACAGCTTTAATTTCAACTGCTTTTGGGTGAAATCGAAACAAAAATCGGCCATGCCATTGAATCGACAATATATCGACACATTTTTCTGCTCACTTTGTTACAGATCTGATTGGGTCCCTGAATTTCCTGACTCTGGTTTTACGGCTTCCTTTCGCCTCAACTTGGGTAAGAGAATTGTTTACAAAAAAATTGTTTATTAGCCACTCAATGTTGCAGTCAGTTTTATTTTTGAAATACTATGAAAATCACAGCCTAGTTCGGCCAAGGCTCCCCGTAATAAGAAATAAATCATTACGTCTTCCAAGATGTTTAACAAAGATGGCGCTGGTTTGACCAAACGATATCTCCACTGCTCGATTTATGAGTGCACTTTTGTGTGTTGTAAATGCTGTTTTCGTGATCGTACGCACTTTTGTTGTAAATGCTGTTTTCGTGATCGTAACACACTTTTCTACATGTGAAAACACTCAGTTACTGCTGGCGTGCATGTTTTGCTCATGTGACAAATATAAGTCTTGAAAGTCTTGAAGCAATGCGAGATTACCAGAACAATGTCTCCATCTTGTGGACAAATATATGTACTACAAAGATGCGCCGTTTTCCGTCACAGACGAGGGGAAAGAAGCAGACGCCAAAACCTTTGGTTGAAACACGTTTAATGTTGCAAAGAGGCTCATGCCATCTCACAATAAGGTGCAGTAGCTTTAGCCAATTTAAGCTTCTTTAGTGCAAGTGCAAAGTTAGCAAAAAGGCCAATTAAAGGTGCTTGAGGATTCACCCAGTAGTCTAAGTTGGACAGTTTATTCTAAGTACCATTTAAAGCTTAAATCACAACAAATCACTAGGTTCTAATAATCAACAGTACATCTAAATGTGGGCTCTGACAAAGACCCACACAGCTGCAAACAAACACTAAAAGCAAGATGATGAGTACTGTACCACGTAAAGACACCGATGTCTGCAATGCAGAGAGCTAGACATGTGATACGTTACATTACAACTATTGGTTTTATTGTCTCGGTACCACGGTAAAGTATTATGAACCGGTGCACATTTAAAACTATCTCTTTGAAAGGATTTAATGTCGTGATAATCTAACCACCAAAATACAGCCAGGAGGAACGTCTCAAGTACTAGTAGCCTAAATGTTTTTCTTTCCTTCGAATACTTTTACGATGCATTGTGATGTTTAACCAGTCTTTGATTATTACACTGAAGCAGCCAATTGTAGGATGAGGTTGGATGACTGATGTCCTGCCGTGAAAGACCTTCTGGTCGGCAGAGTAGCACAACATTCATTTGGTCCTCTGGGCCTTCTGGGCAGACTTGGTGACCTTGCCGGCGGTGGAGACTTTCTTCTCCACCGCTTTGATCACACCGACAGCCACGGTTTGACGCATGTCACGCACAGCAAAGCGACCTGAAGGTTGAAAAAGAGCAGAGAGCGTTTTAGCTGAGAAGTCATCGGAGCCTCGCTGACCGCAGAGGTTTCCAATCCTTGGCTCTTTGAACCTACCTAGTGGAGGGTACTCGGAGAAGCTCTCAACACACATTGGTTTTCCGGGGACCATATCCACGATAGCAGCATCTCCAGACTTCAGAGCCTTGGGGTTGTCCTCCAGCTTCTTTCCAGATCGGCGGTCAATCTTTTCCTTGAGATCAGCAAACTTGCAAGCGATGTGAGCAGTGTGACAGTCCAGGACCGGAGCGTAACCAGCACTGATCTGACCGGGGTGGTTAAGGATGATCACCTACGACCAAACCCAGACGTTTCAAGGTTTGTCCACTGAATTCTTTACGTAAAAAAAAAAGTATTAGTCAAAATAGATCTACCTGAGCAGTGAAGTTGGCGGCCTCCTGTGGTGGGTCATTCTTGCTATCCCCAGCAACGTTTCCACGGCGAATGTCTTTAACAGACACGTTCTTGACGTTGAAGCCCACGTTGTCTCCAGGAAGAGCTTCGGTCAGAGCCTCGTGGTGCATCTCCACAGACTTTACTTCAGTGGTCACATTGACGGGGGCAAAGGTCACAACCATGCCAGGCTTCAGAATCCCAGTTTCAACACGGCCGACTGGCACGGTTCCAATACCTGACATGAGGACACAGAATCTGAAACATTAGACCTAAAGCTGTTGGTTCACCGTAGAACCTTCAGACCCGGATCCATTACAAACCTCCAATCTTGTAGACGTCCTGCAGGGGCAGACGCAAAGGTTTGTCAGTTGGACGGGAGGGGGGCTGGATAGCATCCAGAGCCTCCAAGAGAGTGGTCCCTGATGCGTTTCCTTCTTTCCTGTTGATCTTCCAACCTTTGAACCAAGTCATCTGAAAAAACAAAGTTGCCCAAACACGGCAATTTTAAAAACAACGAAAGACATAATCAAACGCTGACTGATTTTACCATTAAGATAACGGTAATATTAAATTCATCATCACACCATCTTGTCCCGCATTCCATTTCTCTCACTTACGTTGGGGCTGGGCTCCAGCATGTTGTCTCCATTCCAGCCTGAAATGGGAACGAAGGCGACTGTGTCTGGGTTGTAGCCAATTTTCTTGATGTAGGTGCTCACTTCCTTCACGATTTCCTCGTAACGTTTCTGGCTGTAGTTGGGCTCGGTGGAGTCCATCTTGTTGACGCCCACGATGAGTTGTTTAACTCCCAGAGTGTAGGCCAGGAGGGCGTGCTCACGCGTTTGTCCGTTCTTAGAAATTCCGGCCTCGAACTCTCCGACACCTGCTGCGACTATCAGCACGGCACAGTCGGCCTAAACATGGGTAAAAAAAAAAAAAAATCACTCATGGTACAACTTGAATATGATTGAAGATTAGTGTATTTCCAAAGTAACTAAATATCAGTATTGACATTCTAAAGCAGGGTTAAGAAATCCATAAATTCTACACACTTTACTCTTTGCCAATTTCTGAATCTGGATCAGGAAATACTCGGCTGTAGACTCAGTAACGTGTGCAGGTAGAAGGGCCCGACCTGCAGGTTGAACGCTCCAGTCGTCTAAGGTTACAGACCTGTGAGGTTCCAGTGATCATGTTCTTGATGAAGTCTCTGTGACCGGGGGCATCGATAATCGTCACATAGTACTTGCTGGTTTCAAATTTCCACAGCGAGATGTCGATGGTGATACCACGCTCCCTCTCTGCCTTCAGCTTGTCCAGCACCCAGGCATACTTAAACGATCCCTTCCCCATCTGTAAAAGAGTTGATGACGATGGGTTTATTGTTTTATCCTGATCTAAGTCTTTCTCCGCAGTTTCGTGAGGAGCAGCTTATTGATTGGTCCTACAGATTCTTTTTCTGATGTTCTGCTGAGTCATTGTTGGTATTTACGTAGGTAAACAGACTTTGTTCGTCATCATCATAAACTCTACTCCTCCTGCTGGTCCTTACCTCAGCTGCTTCCTTCTCAAACTTCTCGATGGTTCTCTTGTCGATGCCGCCGCACTTGTAGATCAGGTGGCCGGTTGTCGTGGACTTGCCGGAGTCCACGTGACCGATGACCACGATGTTGATGTGGAGTTTCTCCTTTCCCATGGTGACTGTACAAATGTTCAGAGTAGAAAGAGAGAAAATGACTGTCGACGTAGAACCACCCACGTCTGAGGCTAGTTCACTGAAAAGAACCGCTGTTGGATCTTTCCTGCTGCTTTCATTCATTTACAGAAACCAATCTGACAATAGTCCCCCCCCCCCCCCCCCCCCCCCCCCCCCCCCCCTTCCTTCCCTCCCTTTTTTTTTTCTCTTTTTTCTCCTC